TAAAAGTGCCGAACTATTCTGTTTTTCACATAGAGATTAACATAAAAAGAACCATGTAATTTTGTAAAATTATAATATATAGTATTAGTATTTTCTTAGTATGAATACTAAGATGAGAGTCTCGGTTATTACTCAGGGGCGGGCCACCACGAGGCAATTGGTGGCAATTGCCACATCCAAAGAAATAATTTTTCTTTTATTTGCATAAAAACTGCGATTATTCGATCCTAACAGCCACACCCAAAAAAATTAAACAATATTTATTTATTTATTTAAATAGTCATATCAAACTCTAAAAAAGTAGTAAAAGTATCTAAGAAGTGTGGCATTGTTTAAATCATCTATTCCAGTGATATCTAATAGCGAATAATAAAAACTTATTTAAGAAATAGTATTGGATAAGATAGATTCCCAGGCATTGCCCTTTTGAATATGGAAAAAGATTTTGAGATTAATATTGACAAAATAGTAACAGATTTTGTTGCAAAAGAAGATGGAAGAAAAATAATTTTTGAAATAAACATTTTTTTAACCAATATGTTTTTTATTGAATTCATGCCAAAAGAAGAAAAACTCAAACAAATAAATTATATTAGAAGAAAGACAGCTTCTTTCGTCGCATGAATGTAGGTAGTAGTTACGTAGTATTTTCAGAACTTTAGAAACACTTTCTTTTTATCATAGTAAGGTATCATTGCCACACCTATCTTTAAGCCGCTGGCCCGCCTATGAACAGTTATCGCTATTGTTAGTTCCATATAAATCTATCCTATTCACTAAGTAGATCAAATTTATTTCTCTAGTTCATTCAAATGCACTCAAATATTTGCTAAATTTGTCTGTGATGATATGAAATCTTTATCTGTCTGTTGACTTTGTCTACTCATTTTCTTCCTTTTATGCTTCTTTTCATCGTATATATCCCTTAAGTCACCAAATAGTATTATAATACATTTGAAATACATATACAAGGTTAAATGATGGAATCATTATAGTTACTATATAAAATTTAGTTTGAAGTAAGTTGATGCGTTTGTATTCTTTTGACATATATTACTAGATTACTAAGATCTCTGCAGCTATGTAAGAGAATAATCTGAATAGAATATTCATATCAAATAAGGTCTATAACCAATAAGAATATGCATGATAAAAGCTTGAGTTATAGTATGTAAATGTGGCATCCTTCAAGGCATTATACAATGATTTGATAGATATCTAACTAATTTCTAAGTGTTATATACTGTCAATGTTTGACAATTTTTACAATCTACACACATACATCTAATCAGTGAAAACAATAAAAACATATTTGTACTAGCTTTGGATATAACGTTAGAAGAAAACAAAAGCAAACATAAATGTTTGATAGTAGAGAACTATGTGATGTAGATGTTTTATGATTAAACAACCCACGTATGACTCCGAGAAGCTTCTTCCCTGTGATTCTAAATCCGATTACATGGTTTTTTATTTTTTTACTTCGATTTCGATTTCGACGCCCAAAAACTTTGACAATTTATTATTGATAACTAGTGGCGTATCACATACTTAGTACTTAATCTACTTAGGAGTCAAAGAGGACTAGTCTCGCCAATGACAATGCACATTAATGCATATTTTGCATTACTGATTTAGCTGACTACAACTTTTATAAAACAATAGGACAAGCTGTATACAATCATACCTTCATTCACAATATTCTCTAATCGATAAAACACGACTAATTCCATTTCTTCAGCTTCTTCGGGAAGAATAACACATACATTGTTAATCGATGAACTCATATTCATCGTAGGAACGTTACTTGATTGTGTTTGAAATAGTTGCTCAAACATATATTCAAATCTATGACCTATTTCTGAAATAGTTGATTTTTCAAATAAATCATGTGAACAAACAAAACTACATGATAATCTCCTGTTATCTGGTAATGAATTGTATTGAAATGTTAATGAAAAGTCAAATTTAGACACTTCAGCTGATTGTTCTAACAATACTTGTTCTAAATCTGTATCATTTAAACATAAATATTCGACATCTTTTGACACAGTAATAAAATCAAACATTGTTTCAAGAAATGATACATTCGATTGAGTAAGATACAAATCAGCAAGAATATGTTGAAGTGGGTAATGAGAATGTTTAAGAATTGATAAACATTTTTCTTGTACATATTTAACTACTTCATGAAATGGCCAATAGGGCTCAAGTTCAACACGATATGGTAATGTCGATACAAACATTCCAATCAAATTCACTAGTTCACTTCGATATCGATTAGCATAGATAGAAGAAATACATAAATCAATCTCACCATGAGTTAATTTGAATAGGAAGACATAAAATATAGATAATCCAAGTTGAAAAAGTGTGAAATGATGTGTTGATGCATAGGTGAGAAATGATCTACATATTTCATCATCAAAAGTGATTTGAGCTGAAGAAGCTAAACCTGATCGTTGTTGATTAATTGATGAACGTTGTCGGTCAGCAGGTAACGATAACTGACGTGTGAGATTATATCCTTCAAGTTGAGAATGCCAGAATTCACGAGATAATGTCATATCCATTATGTGTTCATGAATAGAATAGTCAATA